GATCCCGGACACTATCTTGAACTCGGTCTCAGAGTCGGTCTTGGACTCAATCTCCGACTTGGTCCCATCTGATAAACTCTTTGTCATTTTAGTCAAGCTTTCAGGGATCCTTTAGCCTACGACACCTCAGGGAGTTGGTTCCTTACAAAAGGGACAAAAGTATAGAGTGACTTAAAACAGTCCTAGAGCATCCCACATCCCAATGCCAAGACCAACACACAAAATGGAGCCAAACGGAGTCTAGTGTTATTTTAGCATACTGGTGGCATAACGTGAGGATATAGGTACTCCACCAACTAGTATGGTGTGGAACTTGGGCTTATACCCAAGTCAGACGCAGAACAAGGACAAACACGCAAGTGGGAGTTAAACTACCTCAAGTTGGTCAGCTATGCTCGACCTACCCACTATCCCTACTATACATTTGGAACCCCTTATATATCCCCCCCCCCCCCCCCCCAGAACCCTTTGAAGAACACATGCTTTGGGCTTTCACCCCAAGCCTCCCTTAATATCAGGAGTTAGTCTTTAGGACAAGTTCAAAACTTATTAAATATAGAATGGTGTTAAAATGTGAATTTGGACACGAGACGAACACCATTGTGTTCAGGCCAATCTCTACATTCCGTAGATATGCCAAATAAACAAATCTAGACACTTTCCATAAATAGCATTTGGGACCGGAATGAAACTAACACAAAGGGCATGATAGCAAAAGTGTTTGGCAAATATGGTAAGCTATTATCTAGCAAATATTGAGGGACTAAGCTTAATATCGTAGAGGTTCTTGATATTAGCAAGTGCAAGCTAATGACACAAGTTTCTTAAACCAGGACGAGTATGCTCAGCAAGAAACACATAGAGTTCCTACCTTATATTTATCCAATCTAAGTGCATGGTCATTGACATGTTTCTCAATTAGCTCAAGTGGGAATTGATAACGGGTCCAACAATACCAACTTTCTGCCGTCGTGGTAGTAAGGAAAGAGTGTCCATAAAGACTAGCCGATAGGTAACTTTCGATACCTAAAATCACATTCGCGACACTTTGTTCCATTGAGGAGTTTATGTGTATAAGAGAATGTACCATTCTAGTTTACCATTTAAGTTTTTGTGCTGATTCTACTGCTGGTTTTCTCTCAGGTAGAAACATCCTGGGGTCTTACAATTCTTTTCTACCTAACCAAGCTTGTTTTCGGCATTTTTGGGTAATAAAGTCCTTTAGGTCTTGAGAAAAAGATTCAATCTTATTATTTCTCTTATTGCAGCTTGGCTTTGTCTATAATTTGGCTTCTCCACATCATTGTTTACATGCTTGTCAATCCTCCAGGTTTTCTGTTTCTGAACCAAGTCTTTATTCAACTTGACATTGCCGGGGGTACTTTTTGTCGATGCAATCTCTAGACCTGAATAGTTTCCTTGCTTTCAGAATTGCTAGGAACTACCGTGTTTGCAATTTTTTGCTACTGCCTTATCATGTCTGTCATATTTGGAAAGAGTTTCTTTCCATTCATCCAATGAAGTAAGCATTTCTTTTTTAATGGATTTTCTAGAATGTAATGGTTTTTATTATGAAACTATAGGTGTTCTCAGCTAGACAAGAAAGTAGGAAAAGAAATAAGGGAAGTTGCTGTTTTGGAAAGATTGGATACATTCTACAAAATGCATGGCCTGCGCATTTAGCTTACCAGATTTCAAACCCAAACAGTGCCATGTTAGAGGAACACTAGGAACAATTAATCTAAAACTTTACAACTGTCTTAACATCTGGATTGTCTTGAATGAGCGAGAAATCTAATCCCGGAGTAGATCTCTAGGACCATAGCAGGAGATGTCACACCTCTGATGTGCTGCCGAAATAGCCTGAAACAACTGATCAGTACATAAGCATTTGCCAAAGAAAACTTACAATATGCTCATGACAAAGTTCGTGAGTTACAGGAGGAAAAGCTTGACGGTTCTGAGGGCCTCCCTTTGCCTTGTTCCATCAGCACTGGCTGCACTGTGCCAAGCCGTTTGCAACAAAAACGCCCAATAGCATTCTCTAAAGTTCTATTCTCGAAGTTTTGTTCCTTGTCAAAGTCAACTTAAATATTACCTTGTCTGAGAGACCTTGTTGCTCTACAATATTTTTGCGACAGAGTTCCTGGGGTCGTTTGCATCAAAGTAGCAGGATGGGAAAATCCGGCACCAGATGGAGAGCCAAATGGCACTCACAGCCAAGCCATCAACTCGGCTTAGAGCTGATTGAGCGTGTCCGTGGCTAACTTGTGGTAACCTTGAGTGCGAAGAATCTACAGAGACCAAAGAGACAATGATAATGATCTCAAACTGTCCTGTTTCGTTTTATTAATATATCAATGCTTCTTGATGGGCACCACAAGACTATAAACAGTATATAGATAGAACATTATGACAAAAGCTTTGAGCAAAGACAAGTTTCAACAACATCGTGAAGGTATGAGCGTTATAGACTCTCATAGATAAACTTATCATCACCTTCCAATATTCCAGTGGAAGGCAAAAATTTGCTACATTGACGGAATCCAAAGCATCTAGCTTTTATATATTTATTACTTTTATGTAGTTTGTCGTTCCAGGTCTATGAAGCCGTTGTTTCCCTGAATGTCTCTTTCAGAAATTGAGATTAAAAAGACTGTTATTTTCAAGTAAATGAAAGATATGACTTGATTATTATTTAGAAAGATGTTTTAGCTTGAAGCAGGGGGCATCTTGGCTCAATTGACACAGCCTGGATATTAGAAACCAAAGATGTTATCTGCAGCTTCCACAACCTTGCCAATGACACCAAAGATGTTATCTGCATCCACAGCCTTGTCAATGTCACCAAAGATGTTATCTGCAGCCTCCACAGCCTTCTTTTTGGCGTCTGGGTTCATCTTGTCAATGACCTCCTTGTGTGGCTTAAACTTATGGAAGGTGAACTCTGCAAATAGAACAAAAGGAGCGTGCAGTCTTCAGTGGTTTACATTAGACACCTCACCTCCAATGATGCCATTGGAATCCACCTGATGGAACAAAATATGGGTGCTATCAGACGAAGCAAAGAGTTTGATGCGGTACACCTGTACTCATAAGCATGAGCTGTGACTGAAATACAAAGGGCAGCCTGGGCACAAACCTTGAAGTACGGGTTTTCCATATCAGGGTACCTTAAGACCACGATGTCAACTATGGTCTTCTCGTGGTGCTCATGCTTGGCAGACTGCGCAAGAATTTCCTGAAGAACTTCAATGTCGATCTTGGTTGATTTCAGGACGTCCTCATCTGCAATCAGATTCACAAACCAGGTCCGGACCTGTGACGAGAGAAGGCCGCAAAGGTTAATAGCTTCTATAATATATAACTTCTACTACTGCTTTCACAATAGCTCCTTGAAAAATGTGATCCTTCGGGAGTTTGTTGAGAAACTTGTCAGCTCTGCTAACCCCATCGCCCATTGGCTCAACCAGGGGATTTTGCATGAACATGGAGTTGACCTTCTCCCAAGTTCGCTCTTCTGGTGGCACTGTGGCAAGAAGAGTGGTAGTTCCTGAGATGCAAACCTTGAGAACCTCATCCATCTTCTTCACTGTTTCTGCATTCAATGCCCCAAACGATGGTGCCAGGTTGGTGTGGAGGTAATCCTCGGAACTCTTGGAACGCACATCAATCTGGAGCATTCCACAAGGAGTTAAGCACTGCTTTGGGCAAGACAGGTTCCACTTTACCTTGCTGAAATCAAAATTCGCCACAATGTCACCAAGGCTCCCTGCATTGTCGCCATTGTTGCCATTGCAATTCACCTTCAGAAGAAGTATGTACACCAGAAGAAGACTCCATTTTTATAATGGGGTAAATGAGTTAATTTAGTGCACAAAACATGTTTATCCCAAAATGAAGTATAGCTTGACTCATCGCAGCTGCATGACTTTGTCATACATATACCTCCAAACCTGCAGGTTAAAAAAAAAAAGGTGATTGGGTGGATTGAGCGTTCTGAAAGATTAGTTTAGTGCAGAAAATGAGTTAAACGCATTTACACCAAACAGAAAACGCCAAGAAAATCAGGTATCATATTCTTTACGCATATGCTTTTAGGGCATGATAAACTGCCGTACATTGCTCTGGGTAGATTGCAGCGTCCTCTCCTCGCCAAATGAGTAGACGACTTTGCCTGGAACCGCATCGTCGCAAAGGAACCAGTGCTTGTGGAAACCCACAGGTCCACTAAGTCAACTTTTACAACTTTAAAAACCCTTTGGAGAATTGATGGTGAAGGAAATGGGCCGTGAACGTCAACAGGGTGAAATCACACTGTTAGGGGAGAGTAGCAAAAGCTTGTTTGCGCTTGTCTGAGATTGGGAGCCTGACTTCCAAGGCAGGATAGGGAGGTGTTGATTGATGCCACCACCCAAGCGTACCAATAACAACGTCCTGATGAAAGCCATCGAGAATGTTAGAAACCCCTCGCCAAAGTTTAGCGGTGGCGCTGGTAGCATTGGTAGCGGTGGTGACAACCGGCATAAGCAGCAGCGATCGTGGTGGAGCAACTACATTTGTTGCACGCTGAGAATCAGCTAGTGATTTTTGGACAGAGAGAATCTATGCCAAGCTACGATCAGCTTTGCAAGATGGCACGGCCCAAGTTGGATGCCAGCGCCAATCTCAGGCGATCCAAAGCGCCAGGCTCTGCGGTGCCTAGGATGTCGTTCTCTAGCCGGTCCCTGGCGAGGAAGAGTTCCTGGAGGCAGCAGAGTAGAGTGTTTGTTTCGGACTCGCTAACCAGCACTTGCTCCGGCCATTCCAGCAGCTCCACCTGATAGATCCGAATTTTAGAGTGTAAACGAGATGTGAGAACAGCTCCATACTGATTCTTGGAGCAAGGACAGCCAGAATTTACGTGGAAAGGTTCCAGATTTTAGAAGCTGCAAGCCGGGGTTTTAGTGAGCAAGAAGAAGTTCCGAACGGATTGGTAACCTGGAGAAGAGAAGTCACAGCGAGGTTTTCGGTGTAGGAAGCCACAGATCTCTGATGTTTTGCAGCGCTGCCTTAAAGCTTTTGTACCTGTGTGAAGTTAGAAGTGAGCTCCGGATAGTTTCGCAACTGTATAAAGTGAGTACCTTGCTAGGAACGACAGGCCTTGATGCTTCGTTGCTCCCGAGCCAAGGATGTCACAGAGACCCTCAAAATGCTGGCACGGGAAAAGAGCGTTAAAAGTGTGCGTGTATCAAATAAAACGTAAGACTGCTACCTCGAGATTATCCAGACTATCAGCTTCACCAGACGTTATTGTGTTCAAAATCTGATCCACAAGAGTAGAAAGCCTCTGCTCGTCTCGGGCCAATTGAAGCCACATTATCCCTTGGCCCTTCTTTCCATGCTTTAAACTATGAACACCAACAGCCTGGAAGACATAAAACACATGTGAGAACCCCAAGCCTGGAAAGGAAGAAGATACTAAACCCTGGCGATGGCTGTGCTCACGGTATCAAGTTCATAGAGGCGGCATATCTCTAGTGCCTGTTGCACAAAATTCACATTAAGATTCAAGAAAACGTCACACCAAGACCAACCTTCAATGCCAGTTTCTGATTGGAACAACTCTGCTTCATTAGGAGAGCTTCAAGCATTCCCAGGCCTTGCTTTGGGCAAGCCGCGAGGTAAACAGGTGCTAGCTGAGATAATTGTTAGACAAACATCAAGAACAAAGAAATCAACGATATACCTGCCAGGTTAAGCTGTGCGAAGACAGTACTTGAGAATAAACCAAACGATGGAGTTCTTTCAAGCTCAAGCCGCCTAGAGTTTGCCTGTCTTCTTCAAGAAGAGATCGAACGTCCTCCCCTTTTGCTATCAGGAGATCATCAACATGCGCCATCATCCTGATAGAAAATTTATATCAATATTCGACATGAGAAGTTCTTACCAGGCATTGAAAACCTTCGAACACTTCGCCAAGAGTATCTGTATAGTGCTAGATTAAACTCCACTGTGACGGGGAAGAGCATTTACCTCGGTGTCGTTGCTGATAATTGCAGATAAAAGTTCTTCAAGGTCTTCGTCCCCAGAACTTTTCAATCTTTTGCACTTGGAAGCTATGCTACGCATTCCATCTAAGACCTGCACCCGATAATTGCAAGTGAACTGAGCACACTACACAGTTCATACATACCAAAGAAAAAGGTATCAGATGTAGGAAATGCGCCACCAGCAGCTCCATCCAGTGAAACGTAGAGAGCTGTAGAACATCAACGTTTCCCAATAGCACCTGTATTAGCTTCTTAAGACCAAGAAGCGTCCCACGGTGGTTGCATTCCGCCCAAAACACACTATTTTCAAGCTTGGAAACCTGACTTCGCCATTTTTCCCTCGCCTGCATGTAATAAAATCTGAGAAACTAAAAACTTTGCTGCAACCACATCAAACCTTAGAAGAGTCAGGCTTAAAACCTATAGCAACACCAGGACTTTCATCAGGGAGCCTTGGGCGCAGCCGCGGCATTTGCATAATGAGCAGTGTAACTGCTTCTACGAGGCCATTTTCAGTCTGCCAAGACATAAAAAAGCATCCGGAAGTTAACGCAAGTCAACAAAACAGCATGGAGAAAGAAACCTGCCGGTCATCAAGCTGATCCAATCGATACGATCCATGCATCCGCAAGAACGCTATCTGGAAGATTGAGATTACCAATGGAACTTACACGCACAGTTTTACAACTTACAACAACGTCAAGCCATCCGACTGACAAGGCCGAGGCCATTGCATCCCAGTAAGCTGCATCGTCTTCGGGAAACTGCAAGTGCAAGTTAAACAACGATACACAAAGAGAAAACAAAAAGCTGCAAGACTTCGAACTTACTTGAATCTCGGAAAGCTTCCGCTGGAACGACACTACCTTGGAATGTACAGTGTCCTCATCAATCAAGAGGACTTTGTCATACTTCTGCAAAGCTCACAGGCAAATCAATCGTAAGTCAAGAAAAAACTCACTGCTTCTTACCGCTAGCCAGTCTACAAGACGCTCCGGAAGCCACCATGTCGCGCTTCTGTCCACATAGAAAACTTCTATGAGCTCCCACACAGCCTTAAGCATCGAGGTCTTCTCCTCCTGCACAAAACAAATAAATAAATCAAATGAATCTTTCACATCATTCTCTCACACAACCTTGCCTTGGGTGGGCTGGTCGAGAACGCTGCGAATGCTCTCGCTATATTCTAAAACATGCTCCCACCTGCGATCACAACTAGCGTTTCTAGAGAAAAAGAGAAGAATTTTTCATACCAGTGACCAGTCGCCAGGGTTGTAGCCCAATTGCCGCTGGTTCTGGAGAAGAGCAAAAGCCGGGAGAGAATCATACGCCAGTCGCCGCCTCTCGGCATCCCATCCTTCTCCCAGATGAATCTCCGTGACTCTTCCACCGCCTCCCACAGCATTCTCGATGTAGGAGAGCTGGAGCTGGTTCCCATTGCTCCACGACACACAATCGCCCTGGATCCCTCAATCCGCCCGGCACGCTATAGATTACCGCGGCCGAGGAGCTGAGGATCCATCGCCACCGGCATTACGCTCCCCGTTCTCCAGCTCCTCGAGACGCTGGATCCCCGGCATCACGCGCTCCAGAATCAGGCCTATCTTCCCAAGATCATCGTCGTGATTGGGCTCAGCATTGCCCAACTCTCGATCCTGATGCTCCCGGCGGACGTCGCGAATCGCCATTCCTGCGAGAAGAATCTCTACGTCGGGGCGTGTAAGCTCACTCTCCCGATGAAGCAGCTATGGTGGGCGGTTTACATCATCGACACTGTGCTCGTCATTCCTTTCGCGATCTTCTTCTACGAGAGCGATCAGGAGAAGTAATCTTCCATCTTTTTGTTCTTGTTCTTAGAATACTCGATCGACCGAGCTCCTCCTAGAGTTTCTTAAGTTCTTTCTATTCCTCCATGATCTCAAAAGCTTTCTTTGTTCGTGGTGATTTCCAGGACTGTGACACAAAGGGTAAAGAACGCTCTCTTGTGGGTGGTGATACTCCTCACAGTTTTCTGCCTCCTTTTGGGAATTCTCTATGGTAAGAAGCTCTTTTCCATCTTTTGTTCTTAAACCCTTTTTCTACGTGATTGCTTGAAGCTGTTATTGGTTATGCCGATTTCACCATGAGAAGTCTTTCATCCACAACGATGGCGTTCATTAATGATTTTAGCTCGCTCAATGCAAAGGCTTCGTGCTTGGTTTCGGCTGGTTTCTCATTGTTTTCTAATGTTACTCTCATGGTAAGCCTTTTCTTTTACATTTTCCCTTTCTTCATTGATCTGACAACATTGTGTGACAGTGTGCAGCTTATATGTCTGGATCTCTGGTTAAAACTATCTGTGACTTACGTGATCACATTAAACACAATAATAGGATCAATACTCTTCATGGTAATGTCGTTTTATGTGTTGTTTTCTAGAAGATCTGATTTCCTTCCTGCAGATGTTTGGAGGTGTTGGAATGGCAACATTACCACTGAGCCTCATATTTGCGTTCAAGAATAGGCCCAAGTGTGTTATTACTCGTGCTCAATACGTAAAGGTGTGTGTGTGATTTGTTCTCATTTCTTGCAACTAATATCTTCAAGGTGATGGCTTTACAGGAGGCGACTGATCTAGCCAAGCGCTCTAACGAGCTAAAAACGGCGACTTTGGGCCTCCAACGCGAAGAGAGAGGTGGGAAGAAAGGACGGATGTTTCGAAAAAATGTGAAGAAAGTCCAGCAGGTGAGCACCACTGCGCACAGAAACAAAAGTAAATGGTGGACGTGATCATGTTGACAAACGCATATGTGTAGCTCGATTCAGGAGCTTGTCTTTTTGGAAGATGATGTTGAAGCTCTGAATGAGGCATTCCCACAGGGAGAGAAGGTACCGTTCTAGTTTACCATTTAAGTTTTTGTGCTGATTCTACTGCTGGTTTTCTCTCAGGCAGACACTTACGGTTCTCTTCTACCTAGCCAAGCTTGTTTTTGGCATTGTCGGGTAAGAAAGTCCTTGAGAAAAAGATTCAGTCTTATTATTTCTCTTGTTGCAGTTTGGCTTTGTCTATAATTTGGCTTCTCCACATCATTGTTTTCATGCTTGTCAATCCTCCAGCTTTTCCGTTTCTGAATCAAGTCTTTATTCAGCTTGACACTGTCGGGGGTACTTTCTGTCGATGCGATCTCTAGACCTGAATAGTTTCCTTCTTTTCAGGCTTGCTGGGAACCACCACGTTTGCAATCTTTTGCTACTACCTTGTTATGTCTGTCATATCTGGAAAGATGCATCTGGGAATGAGGCTTCTGTTTCTTTCCATTCATCCAATGAAGTAAGCACTTTTTTTTAAATGCATTTTCTAGAATGTAATGGTTTTTATTATGAAACTATAGGTACCAAGGCACGCTCGATCCAATGTGGCACGAGAATGTGATCGCGTCGGGCGCGCAACCGTCGAGCGCCATGGATTCCAGCAGCTGGAGCGCCGATCGGCCGTGCCGGCCTTGGCCGTGGCCGTGATGGCGATATTCCAAGAAACCGTGCTCTGTCGATCATTCCCTGGAAGATCTCGCGCGCGTCGTCCAGCCGCCCCGATCGGCTGAAGAGATGGACGAGGGAATTCCCCACCGCACCCTCGCGGTAGAGGCGCTGTGGCGGATATCGGGCAGGATGTGGTGCGCCAGTGATGGATCTTGGATCGCTGTGGCCGCGAAAAGCACGCTCACGATCGTCTCAAGATCCATGATCCGGAAGAGCTGGATCGCGTCGGCATGGCGTCGAGGATCGATCGCGCCTTGCGGAGCTGCCGCGTGCATCACCGCCGTCCAGGTCACCACGTTCTTGTCCAGGGTTTGATCGAAGAGCTCCCTCGCGCGATCCACCAGCCCCGCCTGTGCGTAGGCCGAGATGATCGTGTTCCAGGACGAGAGATTCCTCGGCGCCGTCATCGAATCGAATGCCTGCCGCGCCTCCTCAGCGCCTGGATCATCACGTTCCAGGCAACGGTGTTGCAGTGCTTCATCCGCGAGAAGAGCTCCCTCGCCTGGTCGATCTTCCCCACGGATCCATAGCCCGCGATCATGGACGTGATGGACATGAGATCCGGATGATCCAGCGCGAGGAAGAGCTCCTCGGCGTTGTGCATCAGCGCTCGGCGTAGCCCTGGATCATGCTCAACCACGCGACACAATCCCAGTGAGGCATAGCATCGAAGACCGATCGCGCGAGATCGACCTCCCCGGAGGAGACGCAGGCGTGGAGGAGATTTTTCCATCTCGAGACGTCCCTCTCGGCCATGGCGTTGCGGAAGAACTCCTGGGCTTCGCGAATTTGCCCGCATTGGGCAAATGCTGCGATCATCGCGTTCGCCGAGACGACGCCCCGGGCAGGCATCCGCGCGAAGACCTCCCGCGCCTCGCCGATCCGGAGGCGCTGCGCGGCGATGGTGAGCATCGAGTTCCAGGTGATGACGTCGCGGCGGGGGGATTCCACGAACAGGGATCGCGCGTCGCGGAAGCAGCCGTTCTGGGCAAGCGCGGCGATGGTGATGTTGATGGTGAAGAGGTTGCGGACGCGGAGCTCGCGGAAGACGGCCATGGCGCTGGCAATGGAGCGGCAGGCGCCATACATCTGGATGAGGAGATTGGCGACGAAGAGATCGGTGTGCCAGCCAGAGCGGACGATCTGCGCGTGCAATCGCCGGCCACCCTCCAGATCCCTGCCCGCGATGCATCGCCGCAGCAGCACGACGTAGCCCGACGCCCCGGGATCGCTCATCCTCCTCGTCCCCGCGCATTTCCAAGGAGGAATAGTCTGTCGTGCCCTAAAATTCGTTTGAGTTTAAAGCATATTCTAAGGATAGGCATAATCTACGTCAGCCCTAAATTCTAAGGTAGTATAATCCACGTCCGCCCTAATTCTTCTATGGCATATTCTTATTCTGTGTACTCGCGAGATCCACTTGTGTTCGAGAAGCCTTTTAGCCCTGGTCGTCTGAGGCCTGCTCAAGAGCAAGCAGTCCTTGACTTCTGTAGACTGGAGCACGAGTCCGAGTTGATGGAAGTCGGATTAAATCGTGTAGCGCCAGTCGGCCTCCAGCCTTGTCGCGATCCAGCCTTTAAATCGAAACGCTGGCACTTCTTCATTCTTGCTGACGCTCTCCAGATCGATCAGCACGTACTTCTCTTTCGAGTAGTCATACATGATCTTGTGCAGGATGAGACAGACACTAGAAGAAAAGAAAATTAAGAAAGCTTACCATCTTTGTGCAAAGCTTTCAATCCTCATACGCCATGTCGCACATGTCCTCCTCGTTGTTGGGGTATTTCTTCACACAGAGCGGTAGAGTTTCCACCTCGTAGACCGCCTTCATCGCCTTGATCACTTCCGTGCTCTTGGTGACCGTCGCCAGTCTCGCTCTCTTTCTCCTCCTGCCGCCACTGCCGCTGCTACTGTCTGATGAAGAAGATCGTTCTGATGATTCCGAGATATCAGAACCTAAGCGAGAGGACGTGTGCTTCGGGATGGCAGAGAGAGTCACCTCGCGCATGAGTTCTACCTCCTTGGACTCAAGTGTAGGCCCAAACACGCTACTGATCATATGTCCTCCAGCTTCTATGGCGGCGATGTAAGCGGCCTCGAGACCAGCAAGACAGACCTCGTGCTCGGAAGAATACACTTCGAAGTCTATGATTCTCTTCATTTCGCAGTGACCATGGGGAACAAACGTATCAAGTGGAGGCCTGAAATGATCTACTCAGTACGGAATCGGTGCGAGCTTGTTCATCACTCACAGGGTTTCAGCGGCCACGCTCACATCCATTCATAGCAACAAGAAGTAGAGCTTGCTCAGTCCATCCAGCACGTCAGTCACTGGCATGAGGACTCCCTACGCCAAAAGAACGTTAGAAAACAGAGTTTTCTCAGTGAATCACGTATGCTTCTTGCTTGGAGCATGAAAAACTGGCCGAACTGCCCTGCAGCTGTGTAGCATATCACAATCTTGAGCTTCTGATACTTTTCCCCTGCCCCATGATGATATTGCGTGGCCGATTCGACTTGCTGAAGAACTTCCATCATGGAAGTTCCATGATGACTCCTTTGGTAGCACTCTTCGATAAGTGTTTGGGCAGCACAATCTCTCAGCAGGTCCTAGATTCACTGGAACTGCATTGCCATTGCATTGTAGTACTCCTTGGCCACCAAGGAACCAAGTTTCATTAGCTGTTAGGATCCTATCCTAATTGGCTAAAGGGGTGATTATTTGATTGTAAAGCCCTTTCTTTATCCTATTATCTTGGCATGGTGCTTAACACCCAATTATATTGAGGCCACCCTTTAGTCAACTAGCTTACAGTTGCATAGCATATCATAATCTTGAGCTTCAGATGCTTTGCCTCAATGATGTTGTGTGGCTGATTCAACTTGCTGAAGAACTTCCATCCTGGAAGTTCCATGATGACTTTTTTGATAGCACTCTTCGATAAGCATTTGAGCAGGACAATCTTTCAGCATGTCCCAGATTCACTGGAACTGCATTGCCACCACATTGTAGTACTTCTCCCCAACCACTAAAGAACTAAACCTTATTCATTGTTAGGATTTTATCCCTTACATCTTATGCTAATTGATTAAAGGGCTAATCACTTGATTTTAAGGCCTTTTTTTTATTCTATTATTTTGACTTGGTGCCTAACATTTGGGACATCAAATAACTCATCTATGGAGGAGGGGGGACATCATGTCGAGATGTTCCCTATCAAAGTCAGAAAGAAAAGCTTTCATGTCGTCGTGCCCAAAGACAATAAGGAGCAGGCTTTCAGGATGTTAGTAGCTCTATGCCACATAGGCAGGTTCTGTTCCTCTATACCTAGGGTGTAAGATGCTCTTTAGCAGTATCATCATGGTATCAGAGCTGTGAATGGTACACCATGCTTCCCGCGATCTCTGTATTAATCATGGGAGATTGTTGCATGTTCGCAGTCATATGGCAAGCAGCAGCAGGGCGCCATTGTGGAGTAGCGTGATTGGAAAATTCGAAAAAAGTGAGTCTTTTCCATAATCAAGATTGGTCTTTGGTGAGCAGTAAATTCATCTTCTTGATTGTGCCAAGATTTCCAGCGAGAATTGGACTGCTTTATCCCAAATTCTTGGGGCACAGACAGAGGAGCATGTTGTGACCTTGAAAGGGCGTGAACCCATTGAGAAATTTGTCAATGATATAAATTATATTGAGGTTTGCCTCACAGAT